GTTTTTTTGTTTGTGTTTTTTTAAAAAGCTAAAGAGGATAGAGAGAAATACTTTTAACTGATGGTATATGGAGGGGATTATAATCAATGTAATGAAACAAGTTATATGAATTGTGAAACTGATGATGTGCCCTGTAAACACAATCCACAATAAAAACCTTAAATTAAGTCTTAAAAAAAAAAGAGTTTATAACACCACAAGAAAAGCGTTATTTATGATGGCACACATCTTTTTTCCAGAACTTCTAGCTTGTTTGCGGAGAAATGATAAGAGTTTGGAAATGGACTAAGTGTAAATATTCAAGTCTTATTCACCACAGACTATGACTGCTAACTGTGAGTTTTCTTTCTGAAGCCATTCCTAGTCAGCTTTGCAAATACGCTGTAACCAGGAGACATCCCCACCTCCCTTCCCTTTTCCTTCCTTGATGTCACTCAGGAATAGTAAACCCTCAGGCTGTTCCTGAGTGAAATATTTCCAAGGCATGACTTTGTGTGCTCTTGGAAACATGAACATTTCTGCAAATATTAACTGTGCATAAGGATTTGTAACATTTTGAGGCAAATTAACTCTGCTTTCCAGCAATGAAGATGCCTCACAACATATTTTACATGTTTCTTTATCCAGATTTAGATTTTGGAGAAAGGTTTCCCTGTCTCAGAAGACCTAGCTTGCCTTAATGGTGCCAAACAACCCTTTAGTGCTAAACCTATGGGATTTTTCTCCCTCTGGGGACACATTTTTTTCCACTATGCTTTTCCAATTGTGGACCTTGTGCACTTTCCTCATCTTCAATGAATAAGTAAAGATGGCTTGCGCATCTTTTTGGAGAAACATACATTTTTCTCTGTCGGAGACACATCCTGACTTTCTAAAATGGAGATGGGGCAAAACCAAATCAATGAATCTCAAATTCCCACAGGAAAGTCAGTTTTTGAAGAGGTAATCCTTATGAAAACAAAAATCATATTATCTAATTTTCAGATAAAAGGGCACCGGACATTTTGCATTTAGTAATTTTACAAGAGATATAGTAAGAACCATCTAGAAAAGCATAGGGTAATCTTAGGAGACATTGCCAAAGCCTAGCTCCAGGAACTCCACAGTGATAAATGTATGACAATGTTATCTGTAGTAACAAGCATGAACTCTTCTGCTGTTCTAAAACGTAACAGGCTTCTACTGGATCCTCAGAGAAAGGATTTTCTGAAGGTACCAATCTGGCCAATGTCAACATCATGCCTCACTCTCAGGTACTACTGCAGTATCTATTTGCAATAGGATGCTTTTGAAATTTATAAGGATGGATTTGTTTCAAGTTGGAAATAACTCTTTATGTATGAAATTCAAATTTGAGCAGCACATCATTTTCCATTTAATGAATTGTCATCAGCAGTACCCTCAACAGGAATAAAGGGAAGGAGAGTCTGTCATTAAAAGGATGAATAAACAAGGATTAATTTGTCAAGACTGCATCTCCTTAGATTAATGGTCTTTAATTAGTTTTCCCAAAACATAAATCACTTGTCATGATCATTTAAATACTTTTGCCAGGAAGTTATTTTACCTAAATTACCTAACAGAAGAAAGAGAAGGAGGAGAAGAAACATGAAAAAAAGGAGGAGGGGAGCTTTCTAACAACACTGCCCAAGAGGATAAAGGTCTTATGTAGCAGAAATTTCCAATCTGAACTGATGATACTTGAATGCATCATTTTAAACATTTGCCAAAAGAAGGACAGTATAAAACCTTTTTAATTGTTACTAGGCTCCTCTTTTAGGGAACCAAGTCTTGCCTGGTGGTACGCTCTTAATGTGAGGGATAATGAATCTCATCACAATGGAACTCTACACCTCAGAGCATGTGAGGGGAAAAGTGAGGCAGGTGATTGCATGCTGGGAGAGATGTGTCGAAAACAACAACAAAATAATCTTTTCATTAAATGTTGAACAGAAAACACCAGTTCCAAGGTTAGGAACTAGAACTCCATAGCATCTCATCAGAGAAAGCCGATAGCTCTAAATTTGTGGGCTCTTCTAAGCTGTGAAAACATGAGGTTCCAGGGGCTCCTAGCTACACTCCAAATCATTTGTCATCTAGAGCTCTGAAAGACTAGGCCAGGGCAGTTGAACAGAGCTAACTCTTACTTCTTAAAGATGTAAATAGGCGTGGCCTTGGGCCAGAGCGCTATCAAGAGAATGTTCTAGGCGTCAGCCACTGTGGAGACAGCATGCCTTAATCACTCCCTAGTCACATGTTTAAATGAAAAAGAGTTGTATTTGAATCTTTCATATACAGAAATGCCAAATTTTAGGGTGAGAGCCAGACTGGAGGTTATTGTTTGTTATTGTTAATTGCCATTGAGTCATTTCCGACTCATAGTGACACTGTATAGGGTTTTCAAGGAGCGGCTAGTGTGTCTGAACCGCTAACCTTGAGGTTCAAACCATCCTTGTAGTCGAGTGTTTATTCTACAGCACCACACCAGGAAGTAACCACACTACTTGTGATTATAAAAATGTTTGGTACATACATTAAATGTGTACGCAAGACCTAGAAAGAAATGCTAAAATTACTTAAATAGAAAATTCTGTGGCAATTCCTTAAATTTGTCCATTGTTGTTAAGTGCCATTGAGTCAGTTCCGACTCACAGCAATCCTGTATAGGGTTTCCAAGGAGTGGCTGGTGGGTCTGAACCACTGACCTTGTGGTTAACAGTCCACGCTTATTCTATAGTGCCACAGCAGGATATTTTTCAGTTGATTGTACATCACTCAGAATTGCCTAAATGGGTCAATTTAGCATTATATTGTTATTTGATGCACTTGAAAGTAATACAATCAATATGAGTTTGCCAATATTCTTTTACTTCTTTGAATTAGCTCAAATTTACAGAGCCTCGAATTTGTCATTTTGACTCAGTCATAATTTTATCTTCATTCCACAGAGGAATTTCATTATTTGTTTACATGAGACTTCATTTGCTTTTTTAACATTACCTCATGTTTTGTTCAGATTAAATGTCCTTTATGTCAGCTTGGAAATTGTATTTCCTATCCTACACATGAAGGACTATAATGGACTCAATTGAAACAGCTTATTCCTCTGAGATGACCACAGGCTAGAATGAAACCTGGAGACCACGTCTGAAAGAGTGTAATTTTCAGATAAGGAGATTGAGGCTGAAGAGGTGAAATGACTCACCTATGTTATAACTAGTACTCAAACTCCAAACTCAACCGCAATTTCATAGGATGAGGCTTGGAACTCTTCTGGAATGAATTATGCACCTCAAATAGATGTGTTGAAGTCTTAACTCCTGCTATATATGAATGAGGGAGTCCTGGTATGGCACTGGACTGCAAGGTCAGTTTGAACTGCAAGGTTGGTGGCTCAAACTTACCAGCAGCTCCTTGGAAACCCTACACAGGGTCACTATGAGTTGGAACCCACTCAACGGCACTTAACAACAACATCTGTGAATGTGAACTTGTTTGGAAAAAGGGCCTTTGAAGATGTTATTGTTTGCTTAACATGAATTTATAGTACAGCAGGGAGGCTCCTAAATCAATCTGAAAGAAGAGACAAAAAGACAGACAGAAGGAAGACGGTCATCTGAACAGGAGTTACGCTGCAGTTGTAAACTAATAAATGCCTGGGGCTACCAGAAGCTGAGCAAGTACAAGAAAGGATCTTTTTCTGTAGCCTTCAGCAAGAACATGGCCTTGCTGATGCCTTGAACTTACATTACTCCTAGCCTCCAGAACCATGAGACCATTCATTTCTGTTGTTTAAATCCACAACTCTGTGGCATTTTTCTTATGACAGCCCAAGGAAAGTAATACAGAATAGAAGACTCTTCTGATTTCTTACAAACACATGTCCATTTCTTTTTGCCAAGGTACTATTGTATCCTATTTAATTTTAACGAGGCACTTGTCCTAAGCCCAGGCTTGGATATAGGCCCCAAAGGGCAGGAGATAGAGTATCTGGTCGGCTTCAGAAAATCATTTCGTTTACTCAGCAAAAGGGATAATCTTTAGAGTTTAGACTCCTTTTAAAGAAACGACCTCTGGTTACTTATTATCTCCCCAGCTTTTATCCTTTAATCTCTAGGTTTAAATTCTCTGGTAGTAATTGCCCTAAACCTATGCCTATAATCACAACTGCAGTCAAAAGCAGGTATTTCTGAAGCAATTAAAAACAAAACAAAACAATTTTCTCATGATAAGCTATAATATTTAATTAGTGCAATAGTTTTCCCCTTTAGAAGAATAATTGCATCTTTCAGTATATTTCTCAGATTAGGGAGCTATGTTGTCTAGGCATATTCTAGAAGACGGCAGGTAAACATGGCTTGTTATCCATCCATTTGTGACTTCAATCATTACTAGGACTGCATCGTCTGAAACATCAATGTCAAATGATATAGTATGCATCTTTCCAACAACACTGAATCCAGTTCTGAACAGGCCAATAACAATGATCATGTCAGAATCTCAAAATACACAGAGCTACAGGACAGATTCCTTAACTTCATTTAACATTGTTTATGAGTTCGATTTAATATTGAAAACACAAACATTTTTAACAAATTTGATGTGAATGATTATAGATTTTGATACAACTATTATACAGAAGTGTGCATACATAAATCTATACATAGAATTATATACATTTTAATATATACCACATATATAGTTTTCTCTACTCACATTTGTCTCTTTAGCAAGAGAAGACCATTTTACTGTACACAAATGTACAATGCTACATTAATTCCTGAGTAATTGAAGGGATTGTTAATGAACTAATATAAATTCTAGTTTTTCAGCTAATGATCCAGTAGATTCCTTAGCAGAAACGTGAACAAAATCAACTTTGAAAATATGTACTCAGCTCTGTGCTCAGTTTGTGCTTAGCAGAGAAAGCCAGAGAATGCACTGTAGCTGCTTACATTTGAGAAAATGTTCTCAAATATCCAGGAGTAAACAAATACCCTATTAGCATGAATTTGAGGAATTCTTTTAGTGATGTTGCCTACATCCAATTTGTCAGGCATGGAAGACTCCAGTCATGATTAGAAGGAAAATCCCTTTTGCAGAATATGAAATTCTGTGTAAACATCAGTGTTTAGGTATTTTACAAAAGTTCTGATTGAAGCAAGGAAAAAAAAAAAATACAATGAAAGAATTTTAAGAGCTTTTTTTAGGAGACAACCAGCTATGTGAAAGGACTATAAAAAATGAAAAGTGTATTTTGGTGAAAAAGGAAACCAGATGAAAGTCCTCTAAGGGTTGTCTGGTAAGCTACTTGCTTTGGAGGGCCCAGGTTGACTTGTCTTGAAGAGCCTTGGAGATGACTGACAATGTTTAGCCACTGGGGACAAACTCCACTGTGCAAAAAGAGAAGGAAGCACGATGGGAAAAGGCAGGTTGAACCATAATGGAGAAGTAACAGACACTCAACAGGGTCCCCACCAGCAGGTGAAGTATCCTATCCCCTAACTCAGGCACCAGTATAAAACACATGACAAGGGACAGGTCAGCTGCTATGGCAGTCCATGCCAGGCCCCTGCATCGGAGTTGGCCAGGCACTGGGGAAGCCTGCCTTTATGAGAAGGCACTGCGTTTTTGGTTCCTCCTTTGCACCTGCTACCCAGTCCCATGGCTGCTGTAGTCGAAGACTCCTTTCTTGAAGAATGGTGAGAACTCACATATTGTGTGTTTTGACAGAGTCTGTCCCACTTTACTGATGTGCAGGGGAGATGTTGTAGATTGAAGCATCACACTGAAAAAGTCCCTGAGGTATTTCTGAGGGAGAGACAAGGGTTAAAAAGATGGTTAAGATATTGTAGGGTGAAGGCAAATAGCAAGTAAGACATGTCCAGAAACAATCTCCCACTTACCTTGAAAGAGCAATCACTGTCAATACAAACTGCATACAGGAACTACATTAGCTGTCATTATACCAACCAGAGGAAACAGAACCAAGGTATACAAACATAGAAGGGATGTTTCTGTGGCTCTGGACCACAGCAGCATCACCTCCTGTGGGTGACTGGCAGACCCCACCCAGGGAAATGCCAGCGGGTGTCTAGCATGGGGAATCTGCTTTTTGGCAGCCATGGCACCAATTAAGATCCTGTTTTTAAAAAGAAATTTTCCCTAAATTACTCATTAAATAGCGATTTGATTAAAAAAAAAAAAAATGACAAGCCATCTGTACTGTGTTAAAACCCAAAGCAAACCCACAGCTGTTGGGTTCATCGAACTCCTAGTCACCCTCTAAGACAGAGCAGAATTGCCTCACGTGGTTTCCAAGCTCTAAGTCTTTATGGAAGCAGACTGACACATCTTTCTCCCTGAGAACAGCTACTGGATTTGAATCGCCAACCTGGGGTTCACATCCAAGTGTTTTAACCACTGTGCCACCAACATTAAAGGAAAAGAAATCATGGGGATAAGAGGATCACTTCCAACTACTAACATTTAAGCTCATTTTGCAAATTGTATAGTCATCAATAAAAAAAATCCTTACTACTTACTAAGCTTATTTGCTCTGAATCTCTCCTTCCCTGACCCATGTGTTTGTCACAACATTGCATGCCTTTCCCGGTAATGAAGAAGTAAAACCCAACTGAGACTAGGATCCAAAATGTTGGGTATGAAATCATAGGAGGTGCTTGGCACGACGTGATCCATAACACAGGACAGTCAAAAGCAGTTAATAGAACTCAGGTCAGGCAACTCTTCTTTCTAACAGAAAACAGGGGTGGGGCGGATGGATTAGGCCTAAACTTGTATTCATATCTCAATTAATAATTATAAATAATCTTGTCACACATTTAAATAAATAATTATGAACTTGAAGGAAGACAAAAATTTTGTTTAAGAAACATGACCTACTCCTAAAGCAGTGGTTCCCAACCAAGGACAATTTTGCCCCATAGAAGGTTACTGGCAAGGTCTGGAGACACTTTGAATGGTCACAACTTGCATCTAGTGGATGGAAGCAAGATACTGCTAATATCCTACAATGCACAGGACAACCCAAAAAGATCAGAATATGCTGAAGCTGAGAAAACGTTGTCTAGAATCAGCACTGGACTGCTAACCACAAGATGGGAGGCTCACACCCACCAGCCGCTCCCAGAAACCCTATTCAGGGTCGCCATGAGTTAGAGCTGACTACACAGCACTTAAACAACAACATGCATTGTCAAATGGGAGCCCTGGTGGCACTATAGGATAAGCACAGGACTGCTAACTGTAAGGTTGGCAGTTCAAACCCACCAGTTGCTCCTCAGGAGAAAGATGAGGCTTTCTGTTATCCTAAGAAATCTGATGCAAGGTGGTTATGAGTTGGAATGGACTCAATGGCAGTTTTTGAATTTTAAGTATTGTCAAGGATCCCTGGTGGCACAGTGGGTTAAGCATTGGGCTGCTAACCAAAAGACTGGCAGTTCAAACCCACCAGTCACTCTGCGGGAAAAAGATAAGGGTGTCTGCTTTGAAACCCTTAGAGTAGGTTCTGCTTTGTTCGATGGTTGGGGTAGTTGTGTGCCATCGAGTCAGTCCCAACTCACAGGGACCCTGTAGAGGGATTCTGAGGAGTAGGTAGTGAGTTTGAACCACTGACCTTGTGGTTTTAAGCAACCTTAAGGTGAGTGCTTATCCTATGGTGCCACACCTCTGTCCTATAAGTCATTAAGTCAGAACTGATGTCACTGGGTAAGCACTGTCAACTTGACATTTAATTCTGAAAGAAGCCATTTTTTCAAAAGAAAATTTGTTGACTACTTTCTACTAATAATTAAGATTTGTATAGTAATTTACAGTTCCTAAAAATCTTCTAGTATACCTAAGTTTTTAACTTTATGGAAGTTTAACTAAGGAACAATAAATTGTAGTTTCTACTAGTAATTAAAATTTGCATAGTAATTTACAGTTCCTACAAATCTTCCAACACACCTAAGTTTTTACAGCTTTACAGACGTATAACTAAGGGACAATAAATTGTACTTTTTTTTTTTTTTTTTTGGTCTTTTTTTATTGTTGTAAGATTACACAAGGGTACTTCAAAAAGTTTATGGAAAAATGAAAGAAAAAAATCATTTTTCCATGAACATTTTGAAGTTCCCTTGTATATATGCAAAAACAGTCTCATTTGCCAAGTAAATGTTTTTCACATGTACAATTTAGTGACATCAGTTCATCAATTATGTGTGTACCATTACCAGTATCTGTTGCCAATAAGAAATTTCTATCACCATAAACAGAAACTCAATGCTTCCTAAATGATGGGCTCCCCTTTCTCCCCTCCCTCCCAACCCTGTTGACCATGAATAGAATAAATTTTGTTCTCTATATATTTATTTTAGATAATTCATGTAAGTGAGCTTATACAATACTTGTCCTTTTGGATTGACTTATGAGGGGGCTTCAAAAGGTTTGTGGAAAAATTCCATTATCTTTTCATTCCATTTGTTTTGAAGTCCCTTGTACTTCACTCAGCACAATGTCTTCAAAGTTCTCTTACGGCTGAGTAAAAGTGGCTCTAGAAGACAAGCACTGGACTGTGAACCACAGCTTAGCAGTTTGAACCCAACAGACACTCTGCAGGAGGAAGATGAGGCTTTCTGCTCCTGCAAAGATTTATAGTCTTGGAAACCCTATAGGGCTGCTGAGTTGGAACAGACTCAATGGCACTTAACAACAGCAACAATGACAACATTCTACTGTATATGTTGCTGTTGTTAGGTGCTGATGCGTTGGTTGAGCAGCTGGTGAGCTTGAACCACCAACCTTGCAGTTGAAACCAACTTAGCAGTCCGGCGCATTAACCCACTGTGCCACACCAGGTGTATACACATTTTCTTTATCCCCTCATCTGTTGATAGCTATTTAGATTGTTTTAATCTTTTGGCTACTGTGCATAGTGCTCAACTGCACATTCTTTAAATGTAAAAGCTGATGAGTCTTTATACATATATGCCCTTTGAGATTCCTGCCAAATCACATAGACACTTGTGAAACCACCACCAAGACAGGTATAAACTTGTTGAGATGACCACCACCAAACCAAGATGTGATTTTTAGTGCCATCAAGTTGGTTCTGATTCATAGCGACCCTGTATAGGGTTTCCAAGAAGTGGCTAGAGAATTTGAACCATTGACCTTGTGGTTCAAACCGGCCATTTGGTCCAGTGCTTTATCCCATAGCACCATACTAGAACTCCAAATCAAAGTAACACACATTTTTATCACCCCCAAATGCTTTCTAATTCACTTAGTTTTATGTTATCAGTACTCTGTCTACAATTATGAACTTTCCAGCTATTGCTGGAAAGGTGGTCAGACTGTTTCCAGTAGCAAGGCTAACAGTCAAGCAGGTCTGCTTCGAAACAAGTGTCCTTAACTCAGACTCTGTTTTCTTTCTTTGTTTGTTGTTAAATGCCACTGAGTCAGTTCTGACCCATAGCAACCCTGTATAGGGTTTCCAAGGAGCATCTGGTGAACTTGAACCACTGCCCTTGTGGTTCAAATGGATTTTGCAATCCAACGCACTAACCCACAGTGCCACACCAGGACTCCTTTCTTTCTTTATATTCCTAATTTACTGGTCTCAAGATAGCTTCTAAAGAAAGGAAACTGACATTAAAAGCAGCTCATAATACAAACGTGCCAAAACCAATTGCCAGAAAATTAAGATTTCAATCCTTCTGCTTATTTGCATCAGAGAGGCAAAGGGGTGTTTTTCCGGGAAAGGAATGTGTTGTTGTTGTTAAGTGCCAGTTGGTTCTGACCCATAGCAACCCTGCATAGGGTTTCCAAGGAGCAGCTGGTGAGCTTGAACCGCCAACCTTGCAGTTCAAACAACTTTGCAGTCTGGCGCCTTAACCCACAGCGCCACACCAGGACTCCGGGAAAGGAATTAGAGAATATTCATTTTTAGAGGGACTTGATTTCCATCAAACATGGTTACCATCAGCACTACAGACCATACCTAACTAGCCAATGTTCCTAATGAAATGCTTATGCACAACGGACTGCTCTTGGGAGGCCAAGAGTGAGAGCATTTAGAATGAGGACAGGGAGATGCAAGTCTGCTTGTGCCTGGAGCCACAGCTCCCCGACAGCGGAACGTGCGAAAGTAGCTGGGACAGTCACCCTTGCATCTCCTGGGCAGTTTCTACTGCAGGTCTCCTGTAGGTTACATTAATGCACAGACAAGTATTCATGACAAATCTGTCTTCAAGATGAATTCTGGCAGAATAGAAGGTGATTTAAATCTTTGAACAGATGTTGTATCAACATTTGTCATAATTAGCTCACAAAGTAGGGTCCCTTTAAAGGGCCAATAAAGCCTGAAGGGTATAATGAGAAGTGAAAGTTAAAAATATAAATAAAAGAGAAGGTATTTGACATACCTTCCCTGCCAGAATGTCACCATAAAAAGAGCATAGTAAAATTACTGCAGATAACGCTTTTTTCTTTAAATAAACTCATTAGCATGTCTTCATGAAAACAAAAGATGGAAAGATCTGCTCTAACTCTAAGCATTCAAAAGAGTTTTTAACTTTGTGAAACAAATCTCTGCTTAACAGCAGAATTTTGGGCAGCCTTAAATAGACTGCTTCCTTGGTGTAAAGAAATTATTTACGAAATGTTTTCTACAGTGACTTCAAAGTTGTCTGAAGTATATGAGATGAGACACAACCTTGGTTGGCTGGGAGCAGAGCCACGTATTTGAAGTGGTCTGAACACATTCATTCTAGTAAATAACAAAATCCAAGGGTTAGGATAGGGGT